ATACAATTTATTTAATATATAAACAAACAGAAATTTCAAAAAGCAATTAGAACTGACCATGGAGGACCGGCGCGTTGCGAATCAAGCAGATCATTTGAAAGAAAAAAGAAAGAAATGTTACGCCTCAGCTATATGACAGACAGCAATATGCTCTAATGAAATATATAGAAGAAGAGCAGAAGCTGCTGCCGCTGCTGGGCCATATGAAACGTTCATATTTGTGAAAGCGGGGTTTGCGGGTTATGGCCAAATGGCAAGAATAACAAATGCTGAACAATTTTTGCAATAACAACAACAACAAGAACAAGAACAAGAACAAGCAGAGCAGAGCGATAAACATGCTATCGAAATGCCAAATTGCTGGCCAAATGCCAAATGACCAGCAAGAAGCCCAACGGGCAATACGACGACAAAGACGTATAGTTATAGATATAGAGAACGGAGGGAATGGAGAGTGATCCTGAGGCAAAAAAAATATACAAATATATATATAAAAATATATATATATATATATATATATATATATAGCGGATTGAGTTGAGGGCAACGCAGTTTGGCGCGAGCAATAATGGCGATGATTAAGGCAACGATTGCGGGGGGCCGACAGACAGACAGAGCCAAGGCACAAGAGAGCGGAACGGCGGTGGAGAGAGTGTGTGCACAGGCGTATTGCAGCGTTGACAAACAAAAGGAAATGGCTACAATTTATCCATTCTGGACACACAAAGCACAAAGCATATTAAAGCAAAAGTTGAAAGTTGAAAGAACAAATAATCAACAGCAAATTTGTTGCCTCAACGCAAAAGGCAAATGCACACAAGCGTGTCCGTCAATCATAAACACCTTGGCACACCCACACCCACACACACACACAAGCGCGCAATTCCAGTCATTTTTAACAACTTGTGCTGTGTGCATTTGGCAACCGTAAATTCCTGCCAAAATGCCGGACGTGCCTGGCGTTGCTTTATGGTTGCCTTTTCCCCACCGCAAACAGCAAGGAAAACGGGAAGAAGAAAAAGAGGAAAAGTGGGAAAAACTTAAAAAAATGCAATGTCACATCCGCCATTTGCGCACCTTGCAACGCTTGTTTGGTAGTTGCTTCCCTGCTAAACTAGAAATAACAATGACGATATGTGCTTTAAGTATGCTTGGAATACATATAGTATCGATAAGTTATCGATTCAGTAATGAGCCAAGTGTTATTAATATGATAATGAATAAGAAATTTCTGTAATGTCTCTTTATTGTAGTAGCCCCAGATACAAGATCTGATTCTGCTCAACTAGAGCTCAGGTAAATACATTTGCTATGCCCCAATTTAAAAATTGCAGGCTGCCCCAGGACTGCTGCTACGACTGGAATCGCTGTCAAGTGCAGCAAGCAACCGCTATATGGCCGTAACTTATAAAATATTCAAAACATCTGTTAATTTAGACGCTACTAAAAGGGCAGCAAGTCGCATTTAGAGTATCATAAAAAGTCTTGCAAACTTTTTACATTCGCTGCGGCAAACGTGGATGCGGATGCAACAGAAAGAAACAAGCCGAGGTGCAGCCAGAGCTTGGTCTCTCTCCGTCGCTCTCTGTTAACTATGGTCCTCGTTATTGGAGCAAAGTGGCCATAATTTTAATTTTTATGAGCGTTAAGCAAAAAAGAGGCAGGAAACACGAATGCAGGCAGCAGGACATGGCTGTGGCCTGGCATTTTATGGCATTGCATGCAGCGCTAGGGCTGCCTCTGTCAGCTGTAGTTCTTAGTTGAGCTTTACTAACTTTTAATTTTGCCTTTTAAATTACACACAGACACACACACACATTGGCTTAAGCCCTTTAATAGTTTCGAGTTGAGTTTGTAAAACTTGTTGAATGATTTTTTTTCTGTGTCTCGTTTTGTTTCAGGATGAATTGGAGCAAGCGGATGCATTTCTGGTTGTCTATTCCTGCATTGATAAGGAGTCGTTTACGCGTGCCAAGCAAATATTATCGCGGCTGCAGGACATGGATTTGCTGCGCCATCGACCCACCATTTTGGTGGCTAACAAAATTGATTTGGCCAGATCACGCGCCGTCTCAGCGCAGGGCAAGTTGTCCAGCCCGTGCGTGACTAACGCTCATTAACTAACTCTACACCCCTCTCTCTCTCTCTGTCTCTTTCACTTGTATAGATGGTAAATGTGTTGCCTGCACATTTGGCGCCAAATTCATAGAGGTTTCGGTGGGCATTAACCATAATTGTGATGAACTGCTCGCTGGCACTTTGACCCAAATACGTTTGAAGAAGGATCAAAATCTATTGCACGTAAGTTGATAGAGAGCAACGGCATTCAATGATAAAGACCTTGATGATGGTAGAGTAACTAGCTGTAAGGAAATCTCGAAACTTTTTGTTTAACAATTATTTGTTATTCATCATCATCGCTTTTCACACTCTTATCTCTCTATCGCGCGCTCTCTCTCTCTTAATCTATCTCTTTCATTGATTTGTGTAATTTTGTTTATTTTCGATGTATGTGTAATGTGTAATCGATCGCTTTCGCAGCTGAATCCAAAAAAGACTAAAGACAAAACTAAATTTAAAGATAGCAAAGACAAGCACGTAGAGACTGTAGAAACTGATAAATGTCTGACTCTGACTGATCTTAAGGCCGACGATGCGGTAAGTAACGCAGCCAACAAAATCAACAACAACAACTGCAGTTCAGTTCTATATGTTACCCCTATCCACACTAGACCCCCACTGGCCCCAAATTCAGTTGATTTCCTGTCTGAACTACAAATGTTAACTAATTCGCATGCTGAACCTAACCCAGAACTGGGATAAATTATAGTTAATACGGATACATACTGAAATACCTATAACCTGATCAAATAAATATAGAAATGTATTATATTAAAACATTAATCGATATGTGAATAAACTACATTATAATATTCAGAACTATACAAAATCAGCTAGAAAACATTTATCGATATTTTTATAACAAATTCTTTCAGAAAATCACTTATCGATAACATTTTCATTGTTTATCTAGATACTCAAGATGCAAAAATTGTGTGTCTAACATATTTTCTGATTCAGCAGTTCATTTCTTTCTAGACATGCTCTAAACATATGATAATATTTCAAATCTTATTAAAATATATACCAATTTATCGATAACCAGTTTTTATCATATTGGTTCTTTTTTGTCTAAATATGATCCAAATTTTTTATAGAAATATATTTTAAATCTGTTCTAATCAACTTTCTTAACTACCCTTAAAAAATTTGTGGTTTAAATTATTTTTGGTTAATAAACTGAAAGGCCCTCTATGTGCTCATTTAGTTCAAATTTCCCATTGCCCCTTTTATATATGTCCTCTTTGATCTCTTAATTTTACCCCTCAGCCATGCCTCCAACACCTTAGCTATGCATATTATAATGCACATAGTTCGTAGGTTTGCCAAAAATGAAAATGATGTCAAATGTAGAAAACTTGTTTCGAATTTACCTCATGCATTTGTTTGTTTTGTTCTTGTTTGTTATTCCTTTGCTACATTTTGTTGCTATTTACACACCAAATTTTCCGACTAAACCAAACACACGTCCACCTGACATTGTGGGACATTAAACTAAGTTTGTTTAACCAGTAAATATATTCCAAATTTATATATATGAAAAACAGTGTCCATAAATTATTTAAGTATTCTAACTTACCCTCGTTTTTAGGGTCCGCGCGATGGCAGCTCGCCGGCTCATTGGTACAAGAGTCGCAGCGTAATGCTGGCCAGCATGAAGGCACGACAGATGCTCACCTGGATACTGGGCAAGGAGGATTCCAAGTTCAAGCATTGCGAGAACTTGCAGGTGCTCTAAATAAGAAGAAGAAGAGAAATAAAGCTCAAGAACAAGTTAAAAAAGAAAGAAAGTAAAAACACCAAATAAAAACAAATGCTTCAAGTTATACGAGAGTATATATATACAAATATATATATATGTAATTGTAATATTTATTAGATAATATGTAATTTGTAATTCTATATAATTATGATATGTGAATATTTCTATACCAAAGCAAAACAAAAGTTAAAAGAACCAGTAAACCTAACCTTACAAATGCAAACAGGTTTCGATATATCGATAACCATAACGATAAACAAACACACACATTCACATACATTAGAGTGCAGCCACAAGTGTGTCTCTCAAGCCTGATAATCAAAAATTAAATCAAATTTAATGTAAAACAAAAAAAGTAACAAAAACAATTTAAGGAACGCGAGCAACTTTATGGAACCAAGCAAATGCAACATTTATATATAACTATAAACTAAACGTAAATCAAGTTTCCTCAATGTGGAACAACGTTTTCTAAGCTTTGAGCTCTAAAAATCAACAATAAATATTTTATTTTGCCAGACGCTGTTTAGCAGAGTTTAATAACTATATACAACCAACTCTTCTTCTTCAGTTTCATATAAGATTTATATATATATATATATATATATATATATATATATATATATATATATGAAATATATGTGTGAATGTGTAGCGTAGTTAAGAACTGAAAAACTTTAGAAATTGTTAAAAGTAGCATATTTTGTCCTTTTTTCTTTTGTCTTTGTCTTCCGAACTTATTTTATTTATATTCTTATTATTTATTATTTATTTCTTTGTATATAAATATATATTTATAGAAATATATATTCAGTATGAAAATCCATCGCAATGTAAGGAATTTGAGTGTTATCCATAAAGCACAAAAAACAATAATATTTGTAAATTAAAACAGAAAATAAATAAATAATTAACTAACTAGAATTGTTTATAGATGTGTGTGTATATAAGCTTAATCACATGTGAATATTTTTCAACAAATAAATAATAATTATAAAATCCAATAAAAGTTTTACCATATAATATATATATAAAAACTTTAATAAACTATATATATATTTAAATGTTAAATAATCAAATGTAATTGTTTTTTAATTGACTATAAACTAAGCTTTTGGTATAAAACGTGTTGATGTGACGTATGCTTTGTGAACTGATGTAGCTGATGAGTATACTAAAAGACTAGCCTATATTATTACAGGGTATATGCAAATTTGTTAACCAAATTGTTGTTGCTTGGGATTTTTCACCTGTCTGGCAACCTCGGCCCGATAACGAAATAGCGGACGGAATACATTTATCTCAGCCAACTCCATATCATCAGCGGCTTCCTCATAGGACAGATCGACCACGGCGCGTCGCAGCCTGCTTAAGGTGCGCTCTAATCTGTAGAGTTGTTCAATTTTTGTATACTCTGCATCTGTTTGCACAGCATCTGTCGTCAGTCTTTGTTCAATGGAACTGGGATATGCACAAATCATTTGTAGGGTAACTAGGCACGCGAGTATTTGGCAGATTTGCTATTTAATAATGAGAAAGATATCTATGAAGACTCAATTCACCTGTATATTTACACGGCTTACTCACCTTAGTGGACAACATTCTGTTTGATTTTGTTGTTAACTGTTTCTACTGTAAGTGATGCACAATAGAGCTGTTATCTTCTTGAAGACGGAATTCGAAGTGTAACTAAGTTGAGTCTCAACAAAGCTTTTTATACAATTGAGCTAAATGATATTTTACTAAGCGGCGGTTGGCTCTAATTAGCACCTTGAATTGTTCTAATTACACACCTTGTTTTTCACATGTAAAAATCGATTGCAATAAGTCTGTGAAATTAGCATATTGCGTTTGTTTTGTACAGTCAAGAAAATCAGAAATATATAGAGCAGTCTGTTGTCGAGGCTAGGGAAGCCGAATCATGTGAATTGGATTTGTACTTCACTTCTGATTTGAATTACACGGAATTGTCAATGCAAATACAACTGACTAATAGTTAGTACTTGATTATTTTTTATCCGGTCGCGTGTCCGCCACATAATTAGCGCATGATCTCAACAATGGCGAGCACAATAATATATAGCTAAGCTGTCAAAATCAACAAAAGTTCTTAACACGTGCAAATTTTTTTCTATTACAATGTTTAAACAGTGTTTTACAAGTCAATTATTCAACTTAGTACAAGTGTTGGTTTTTAATTTAAAATTTGAATTTAGGCGCGGAAACTTAATGTTAAACGAAAATCATGTCGGAGTCCCTGGCAATTTAAAGACGCTTATCGATTAAAGAGTTAACAGAGCTGGTTCTGTGGTCGATTAACATTCTGTTAGTATTTGGTTGTCGATATATTGGTACAATGCAAATGGCGCGCGCATTGAAAACAGAAAATACATAGCGAACGAATGTACAAATGAAAACGCGAAATGAAGAAATAAGAACTAAACAACGAAAATAAAAAGCAGAGACGTAGAAGTTATAAGTGAAACTAAACAAAAACTACATTTTGTTGCCTTAATTTATATTGCAAACCGGACGACGAAAACAATAATAATGGTGTGTATATGTTCTATTGTTGTTTCATTTAATAATGAAACAACGGTAAGTAACCGCTATGTACGCATAGCCAACTGTAACTATTTCTTTGCTGACTCAGTTTGATTCGTATATCCACTAAATCTATTTCAAATGTCATTTGACACAACTCCAACACTGTACACATTTTTGAGGCTCAATTGTTTTACAATAACACACAAAAACATGGAAAAATAAATTTTACGCGCGCACAAAGTTGCTCCACACAGACAACATAAACTCAATTTGGCACAAACCACCAAACTATCGATAACTTGCATAAATATTTGCATAAAAAGTGCCATAGTGAGCGGTCACAGCTGTTAGCTGTTCAATACAGACAACAGACCGAGCTGAGAAGTTCGCTCATTCAGTTTCTTGAGTCGTTCGATTGAACATATCCCGAACGATTCGATACAACTTTCAATGTGCTACGCTTTTTTGTTTATTTGTTTAATGTTCGTTTAACGGTAAAGTAAACAATAATAATATAATTGATTTCAACTGACAGCTTTTTAGGAGTTGCACTGACAGTTTGCCAAAAGTAAGCAAACAACACCAACAACAACGGCAAACAGACGCAGTTCAACGTCACACAAACAACATAGTGTCTTTTTTCAGATATCATTGAACAAATAAACTACGTTGCAGTATTCATATTTCATATTTGCCACCGTAACAAAATTATTACAACAATTATAACACGTACATATATTACTGCCGGCGATGATTCAATTCCATTTTGGGCATTTTGTTTTCTGCCAAGTCTGACAACATATGTTTATCTGTGTGTGTACATGTGTGTGTGCGTGCGTTTGTGTTTGAATTAATGTGTTTCTGCGCAAAATAAAAAGACAAAAAATGCGATAAGGGCAACTTCATCGGAAACTAAAGCGGTCGCTGTGAAACAATCACAAATGAGCCGCCGACACTATCTCACTCCCGCTCGATCGCGCTTTCCTCCAGCTGCGTCAACGTTACAGTCAACACTACCTGTTGATGTACAGCCTAACTTGACCTGCATTTTTGTCTCGCCATTTATGTTGAGCCCGGGGTTCATGCAGTTTTCTAATGAAATGCAAAATCTACCCGCGGGGGTTATCCAGATATGTGTATGCACAGTTAATCCCATTCAAGTTGAAATTCGTTATAGTCAGTTCCGTCTGTTCATATTTTTGCGTACAATCTCGCAATTATGATACGGTTTGGCATGAATTGATTTTCTTTTCATTCAAGTACCTGCATCGGTATATATATATTTATGCATATAAATATTTAGATAAAATTGAATAAATAATATAATAAAGAAAGAAATTATAGTGTAACAATGCACTTGAACAAAGCGAATAACTACGTAAAAGCTAGTATCGGAACAATAGAGATAAAATACCATTTGTTCCTCAAAGATATTGATATCTTAAAGAAAACTAAGCTAAACCATGAATTCAAATGCATCTGTCTAATACTACAGCATAACCCTTATCCCTAATTCAAACTCGAGTAGCTTCAATGATCTAATCTAAAAGTTTGTAAGATTAAAATTTTAAGAAGTCTATAATACCCAAGGAGTTAGCGTTTTTGTTAATGGGGCGATAGTCAAATTGTGAAGCTAGTGAAGCTTTACTGTATTGATATTTTCTCGGGGTTTCTATGAAACTTTATTTTTATAACATTATATCAATCACTTCTATAGAAAAATTAATTTGTTTCTATACAAAATTATCTAATATCTCTAATGTTATCTATTTTTAAAAATAGTCTTAAATATGTTTACAAAAGCATTTACAATTTGTCTAATTGTTCTTTCTCTTATTCTCTCTCTCTCTCTCTCAAATGCTTTCTCATCTCTCTCTATTTCACTTCATCTTCTTCTTATTCTCCTGTTCACCTCACCTCTGATTCCCCTCTTCTTTTTCTCTCCCCTCACTCTCTTTTTCTCTTCAACCTTCTTGCCTCTCTTACTCTTTTCTTTTTCTCTCCACATATTTTCTCTTCATCTCTGTCTCTCTCTTCCTCTTCAACTCTCTCCCTTTCTCCCTCTTCCAGCTCAATTTAGATAAGTAGCTACACGAACCTGCCCTGCCTGGACGTGTTCAGCTGCTTGATAGCGAGAACGTGCTTTGGCCCAGTCGATGAGATCGTCAGTGACGCGAACGCGCAAAATGAGTAACAGCTATAATGATATACCCATTGGTATACGGGTCCTGCAGAAGCTGTCGCGACATTGCCCACGCTTCCATGCACGCAAGGAGCTGTGGTAAGCCGTTAAACAGATTTAATTGAGCAATTAAACCAAGATTTGTCCTTATATTTGCAGCTATAAGATGTCCATAATTCTGCTGACATTCGTTGCCTATGCCTGCTATCACATGTCCCGCAAACCCATATCTGTGGTCAAATCAGTGCTCCACTACAACTGCTCTGAAACGCAGGCGCAGCTTCATGAGGGCAGCGATTGCGGCTATGCGCCGTTTGGTAAGTTGGTCTAGGTTTCGATCATCCTGATCGTGAAGGGTCTTTCTGGATACATTTGGTTCGTTTAGATTCCTGATTCTAGATTTAGATCCTCCAGCTATGAAACTCGGTTTCTCTTAGGTCTTGAAGCCTTCACGCTTCGACAAGCTTCTTCTGGTTCTTTTCTCCAGGAGTAACCCTGTCAATTCTTTCATTAATCCATTATAATCCAATATATTTCTAGACGGGCCCGACTCGAAGAGACTGTTCGGCATGCTAGACTCCGCCTTTCTCTTCTCCTACGCGATAGCTATGTTTATCTCGGGATTCGTGGCGGAACGTGTTTCTTTGCGTTATTTTCTATCCATGGGCATGATCATGACGGGCGTGTTCACCTACCTGTTTGGCGTCGCACGCACCTCCAATATACATAGCCTCAGCTATTTTATATTTGTGCAGATCTTCGCGGGCATCTTTCAGACAACCGGCTGGCCAGGTGTTGTTACCCTGGTGGGCCGTTGGTTTGGCAAAGAGAAACGCGGTCTGATCTTTGGCATCTGGAATAGTCATACATCTATTGGCAATATATTGGGCACGCTGATCGCCGCGCACTATGTGGAAACGGATTGGGCGCTGTCCTTTGTGGTGCCTGGCATCATAATTGGAGCAGTTGGATTTCTATTGTTTCTCTTTCTGGTCGATCAGCCAGAGATTGTGGGATGTCATCCACAGCATAGCACGCAGGAGCGTCGCATTGTAGCGAACGAATCGGATGCGGACAACGACGATGATGAGGAGAAAGCGCTTCGCGGCGAAGCTGTGAGTATACCTGGCTTTTGTGCTCTTCCAATTTCAGCTATTGCATTTTATGATTTCGCACATCTAATATAATTCGACGTACGCCCAGTTATATGCACAGTCCTTTTTTGCCGTACCACAAACCGTAAGTGCATGCCGTGTCCTATGTCCTTATTAGCTGTTTGTATATGTTCCGCTTCTACACGTGCTTTCTGTATATGCTATATATATATTTATACCTATGTAGATAGGTTAATTGTCTGCTTTGATGAACTCATTAATTGTATATTTTTATTTCGAATGCAGGACCAGGTCAGCTTCCGTTCGCCGCCCACCGAGCGCACGCCCATTTTGGCGCGCCAGAGCTCAAGGGAACGACCTGTAGCGCATGGTCGTCCCATAAGCCTAAAAGATGCACTCCATATACCAGGTGTTGTGGAGTTTTCACTTTGCCTGTTCTTTACCAAGCTGGTTAGCTATACCTTCATGTACTGGCTGCCACTCTATATACAGTCTTCCAGTAAGTTTTTAATCCGTCATAAATATATATATATATATAAATATTCATATATGTTTGTCTACTTTTAGGTACGTTGGGTCCCGAGTTATCCGCTGATCTCTCCACGCTGTTCGATGTAGGTGGCATTTTGGGCGCCATAGCCGCTGGCTATCTATCTGATCTCACAGGCATGTCCGCCACAGTGTGCACAGTCATGTTGTTCTTTGCGTCGCCTATAGTAAGACTTCAAGGTCTCTTCTATTGATCTATTGATACACATGCTTTCTCTCTTGCTTCTAGCTGCTTTTGTATCAACAATATGGCGCATTGTCGGTTACGATTAGCGTGCTGCTGCTCATCATTGTGGGCATCTTTGTGAATGGGCCGTATGCTTTGATTACCACCTCGGTTAGCGCTGAGCTGGGTCAGCATAGCTCATTGGAGGGCAATGCAAATGCTTTGGCCACAGTCACGGCCATAATAGACGGCACAGGTTCCATTGGCGCGGCAGTTGGGCCACTGTTAGCGGGCCTAATTTCCAGCCATGGCTGGAAGAATGTCTTCTATATGCTGATCGTGGCAGATATTATAGCCATGATATTGCTAATGCGTTTGGTCATTAAGGAATGCCTAACACTGCGACGTTCGACGACCCGCATAAGGATCGAATAGCATCGGGTCAATTGATTTTATTTAATCGGAATTTAATATGTCATATGTATATAGTGCACTGTATTGCATGCACACACACACACACACACACACATGCCCACACATGTGGGTGCACATTTGCATTAGCTATTTTAATATTATTCTACTTCTATTTGTATGCCCATACATATATATATATTCGCTTAAGTACCGCGTGCTTGTGTGTGTATTCAGCAGAGAGCATATCACTTGTTTTTCTCAACCTAATTAGTTTTTTTTATCGCTAATAGTTTTTTATATATACATAGCTATAGCTATTTGAAGGCCAAATCTTTACCATATTTGTAATATATGGCACATTCAAAACATTGGCTAACGAGCTATACGAGTTAACAGTTTTATATATATAAAAATATATATTTTATACAGAGTCTCCTCCAATAAGCTATAGTCTAATTGTAAGGCATGTTTACACTGCTATGTAAATATAGTTTATGTACACTTTTCGTACCGTTAAACTAGGACACTACTGTTAACGCGATTTGTCCCAATAAAAACGAGAAACAATTTTTAAGCAACTGTTAACTAAATGGGTTAATGTAAAGTCACCAGGCTGTTAATCTTAACATACTTAACAGTGAGTTTTGATAGTCTGCGCGCTGTTAAGCTTTAAGTCTCTGTTAAAACAAGAGTAAATTAATTTTTTAAAATTCTATTTATTTACGTAAGATTTAAACTAATTGTAGATTTTTTCTTTAGCCTCGTCGAATTAAGAGATTTATCAGTTTGCTACGCTTAACGTTAGCCTCATGATTGCGCTTAAATTAGATACAGTCAGAGCTCTATATTCTATATAACTAGAACTGAAATGGCGTATATCTCAATTGAACTTATCACAATATGAATGAAATGAAATGTAAAGCAAAAGAAATACAACCTTAAGGCTGATATTAATATCAGTAAATATATGTGTATCGTCTACAGTCGCTGCACACAACGGCGCACGATCTTCGCCTTGTGCTGGCAGAGCAAACGTAGCAGAAAGATGACCAGAAGCAGGCTGACACCATAGCCAACCACGAGGACGGCGCGCTTGCGTCGACGCCAACGTTGATAATCGGTCCAGGAGACGTAACGATTTCGAAATTGAGGCGGAAGCTCAAATTTGCTCCGACGTGGGAAAAAGGATAAATAGAAATCCTCTAGAAGATGACGCACTAGCTCATTGTCGTCGCCACGCTTAACATCCAAATTGTCGTTGATGCAGTTAAATTTACGCGGATTACGACGCATGCGATCGAGCGCCTCGACAACCTCTGTCAGATTCGAGGTAAGCATCATAAAGTTGCTATGCGAGGCGCGTTTCGGACTGACATGAAAGCGATATTTGGAGCGAACGCCGAAATTGGCGGTCAGAGCTTCTGCAAGCAAGGGGCAGTGATAGACCAGCTCGCGGGTTATGGTGGGCTGTACGAGCAGAAAGAAATACGTTAATTGTTGCAGAGATTTTATTACTTCATCGTTTACCAAATTCGAATCCTCGTAGCGTTCGTAGACCAAGGTGGAATGCACAATCTTATTGCTGTTCCCATCCTTTTCCATGTTCCTCGTGCAATTCTGCACCACCTCCTCGAAGTAGCGCATCGCCGACCAATCCAACGGTGGCGGATAGATGCGTGTTAGGCACGTGCGCACCTCTCGATCCGACCAGGTGCCCGAACCATCCGTATCGAATTCATCAAAGATTTGCTCGACGCTCAGCGTTTGTGTCTCACTCATCAGAAATGAATAATATGCGAAAGCAAATTGTAAATCTGTCGCCGCTCGAAAGCGTTGTTCAGCCGTCTGCTGCACCTCCTGCTGGAAACGTTGCTGCATATCCTCGACAATGTTACGCTCGATGAGGAAGCCGACATGGGCCAGCACATGGCGTGCCTTGAAGCCATAGACGCGATTGAGCAGCATATTGGTGGCTATTAGTGAATGCGAGTAAATGTCTGTAGAGGATTTGAAGTCTTCCTTGTGCAGCAAATTGCTGGCGCTAGTGCTGCTTACATCGAACTCAGGGTTCAGGGACTTAAGCTTATCCTTATTAAAGCGCTCCACAATCCGACGCAGCTCCAACAAAGTGGAGACATTGCGATGCTTCATCAACTCCTTGAAGTTGGTGGAGCTGCGCTTGAAGAGCTGCTGCAAGCCCATATTGGGAAACTTATGAACAGGCGAATGAGCCACAGGAGCCACTGCTTCAGCTGCATTATGCAGCTCCTCTTGCAGTTGGCCAGCTGCTGCTGCTCCTATGCCACCCTCACTGCAATCACCGCCATCATACTGGCACGCATCTATGTTACAATGCCGATCGCAAGCACCGTCTCCTATATAGGTCCAGGGACAGTCCAATGCGCAGTCGGGCACCATCCAAGCCTGATAGACACGCACGCCATCCGCCTGCGTATACAAATCTTCCGGATAGAGTGGTGCACCCAAAAAGATATCATCATTCAGATATAGAAACCTCTTTGATAGCTTTGGTATACGATGCAAAAATGTTTCAATGGCAGCACTAGAAAATGTGGGTAATAGCTTAGGATTCGGTGCGAGCAGCTCGTGTGGCACCACGCTGACTTTTTCGTAATTCAGATCCAGCCAGCTGGGTATTTGGCCATTGGTAACAATATACACATGCCTTATCCAGCTAGCATGCTTCTCCAATGAGCGCAGCGAATATTTTAGCTCATTTTTGTCATCAAATCGTGAGGGATCGTAGCTGGCGTCATATCTTCGAACCGATTCTATGAAATCGGGATCAGATCCATTTACCCAGGTATAGACGGCGTCTATGGGTGCACAATGAGTTTCGCTATAATATCTACTTTCGTGGCTATCTGAAGCAGTAAAAATTTGTTGCCCTGCTACCCAGAGCAGCAAGCATAACCCTCCAAATAGTGCTAAGAAAATTAGTTTACGTCTCGACTGCATCTTAAGCCGATAGATTTTCTCAATTGTACGCCGCATCCGCCGATGCCAGCGGCGCCGCAGACGCATTTCGTATAGGCTGCTTGGCACTACATTGCCATACACTTTCAGTGCACGCTAAGTAAACAATCTGTCTCTATTATCCACACAATTTACTCAAAACAAAAAAACAAAATTGATTTTAAGTCGGCCTCTTATTAGTGATGGTGGTCTAATGAGGTCGGTGAGCTATCGATAGCAACTATCGCTTTAAAGGCATAAATATTATGGTTAATATTGTACCTATTAATAATTTAAATTGATCATTACAATTATTTATTATATACACAATAATTTTTTATTTACTTTTATATAACAAGTATATCATATGTTTTTTCATTTAAAAACAGAGTCTAGCGCTCACAGCATAATAGCGATAATTCTTCGCTGTGACTGCCAATGTCGAATCGACTACGATATCGACTAAGTGCATTCGTAATCGGTCAGCTGCTTGGCCATCACATGACCTGTCATATGAAAACTTTTTCACTCTTGACAGCGCAAATCGAGAATCGGGCAGTGCAAAACGAAAAACTTTTACCACATTTTTCGTTTGTAGTTTTTGTTCATTTTTGGTTGGTTTTATTTGTTAATTGTGTTCAACTATGTTCGTTTATTGATTATAGTTTTATTTTATTTTAATTTGATTGATTGCAACAGCGAGCCAGGCAACAAAAAATGTTGTGGAAATCGGTGATTGCATTGTGCGTCATTGGAGTCGCCTTGGCCGAGCAGACGCCCGTTTTTCTATGGGGTGCCAACAGGTGGGTGTTTTATTCGTAATGATTAACTTTATATATTTTATTTGCGACTCCCATTCTTAATAACAGTATAACGAAGCCATCGCTGCGCACGGTGCCTCAGTCTGAATTTCAAGAGCAGCTAGCGACTTTGCTCAAAGATCACATGGTTGTGGCCTTCGAGGAAAATGGCGTAAGTGCAAATGCAAATAACTGCGTATTATCATAATATATACGTTTCTCTGTCTCTTTTTAACTCCAGCTAAGCAACAAGGATTTCCTGTGCTCCACCAGCGATGCCCAATCCTGTTATGCACGTCTACAAAGCGTTAGCCCCAAGACTTATTACACAAGCGTTGAGAATCCAGCTGAGGCATTGCGTGCAGCTGCCCAAAAGCGTCAGCACAACAGCGTCGATGCCAATGGTCAGCTGGTGCATCCAGTTGAATGCGAAGCAGGCACCGCACATTTCGTTTCCTTTGAGGATGTGGAAGAGACACGTGCCGCTACACTTCAGTCACATGGTAAGTACTTGCTGATGGCCAACTACCCAAATTGAGCTAATTATGTATTGTTTTTATATACAGACTCCGCCATAGCTGCTATCAGCCAGCAACTGAACTGTAAGGTAGCTTATCTGTATTTCGCGGCACCTGCTACAGCGCCCGTTGTCCAGCGTCGCGTACGTCGTTGGACGGCAGCGGAGACAACTAACAATAGATTTTACGAAGGCAACCAATTTGCCATTAGTTTCATCGATGTTAAGTACTATAACCAGGCAGCGGGTTCAACGACACCAATAAATGTCGTGAGCATCAAAATTACCAATGCCACCAGCACTCAGTTCTCCGTTGCGCTGAAAACCGATACCTCAAACGATATCACCTTTGATGTTTCCTATAGCACCGTGGATGACTATTATACAGTGAGCAATGCAGCCTATGGCACCGATACATTCCGTACACCTGGAGTTAGTGCGCCGCCAACTTTCTCATACACCTGCGGCAATACGACCTGGTATACGCCAGTCAATAAGGAGAATCAAATTAATTCGCTGACATGGACCTCACTCCAGCTGCAGGCGCCATTCAGTGACAAAATGCAGTCCGATTTTCCATTCGGTGATTCTTGGGATTGTGTGGGCTTTGTAACACCCGGCATTTTGATGGGCCTGTTCGTCATTGTCATTTTGCTGGTCATTGTCTTCCTGGGTATGTGCTGGATGATGGATATCAAGACCATGGATCGTTTCGATGATCCCAAGGGCAAGACCATTACGATCAATGCCAGCGCCGATTAGACGCTATCACCTGCTAGCTTCACATTTGTTTTTTCTCCTCTTATTGTTTTCTTTTTGTGCATATATAGTAGAGATATCCGATATCCGATATATTCAATATTCATTCCTACCTTCACATAATAACTATAATCACTACAATACTTAAATAACAAAGAAACAAAAAAAGGCAGGAAATTAGCGCTCACAATTTATAAATCATACAATGTACAAATTTATGCCCGCAAAGTTGAGGAGCAGCCAGGTGGGAGTCACATTCAGCATCAAAATAGAAGAAGAAACCATAACATGTGCACCTGCCACAACTGCCTCTTGGCTTTGCAGCCGTAAATTCAATTATGTTTATATATATATATATATATATATATTTATATAGTTTTGCTTGCAACGATTTGTGCTGCTGCATTTGTTGATCTTTTTATGCAGTATTTTGTTTAAGTTGAAAATGTTAAAAAAACAAATGCACAAAAATTACTTTTAAGGACGCACACTGTGTTCGGTTTGTGTGTGTGTGAGTTATGCGTGTGTGTGTGACTGTGCGTGTGTGAATGTGTGTGAATTTTTGTAAGCTAAGCCCGATTTTTATTTTGTCATTAGGCGAAAATTTATTGTATGCCCTTGTATGATAATATAAATCATTTATGTATGCTCCAACCCGCCCACAATAAAGTTTTTCAATTGTTTTACAAACATACCAACAACAAAAACATATATAAATACATAAAAAAACAACAAAACAACAAATCGTATCGAGTTAATTGAATTCCCACAGTTTCCAGCGCGCCAAAAAACTCATAAATACAAATCAAAAGTTTTATGAAAATTTATTGACTGCGCCTCTTGCCACATTTTGTTGCCGCTGCTGCTGCTGTTACTGCTGTGGCTGCCTCTCGACTTCACATAAGGATTAAAGATATATGGTTTTATGTGTGTGTGTGTGTGTGTGTGTGTTTGTGTTTGTGTTTCTGTATTCGTGTTGATTGTTTGCAAAAACTTTCAAGTCTCAAAAATAGTTTTACGTAATACTTTACGCTTGGCTTCTCTGCTCTTTGGCTCGAGCTCGGGCTCCAGCTCCGTCTCGGCCTGTGTGACCTGCAGCTTTCATTAAGTTGTTTTAGCTGGATGCTCAAAAAGCATTGTTTATGACATTTTAATCTCTTGTTTATCCGCTTGACTTTATCCCAAACGTCAGCAAACTGACCACCCAACCAAGCAAACCCAACTCAGCCACCCACCCGGTCTCTGGTCAAGGCTTCCGCTGCTCTGGCTGTACAGTAAAACACGGTCAGCCATTGCTCGACTGCCAAATGACTTGCTAAGAGCTTTATATGTATATACAAATAACTTTTAAATTTATTGAATAGTTCCTCTATTAACCATCTGCCCCTCCCTCTCTTTTACTCTAAGTCTTGCGTAAGTCTCTCTTGCTTGAACGTTTACTCGGAGACTAGTTAAAATTTTTAGGAAATTAAAAACGTGAGTTGAAGATGAGAAATAGCTCTATTGGATACAATACATTTTTTTTAAATAAAATTTTGTGGGTGTTACAGAAATACAACTCGGAAAGCCACTTCGAAATTGCAGCGAAATGTATAGTCTGACACTAAGTGTAACATTTTGATTAAATTTTTATATTTTGCATAATTATTATTCTGAATAATAATTGTGTCAGTTATATAAATAAAAGTATAAATTATTGTCCTTAGATCTAAAATATATATTTTTTTATAAATTAAAAATATATCAATCAATCTAACATCCAACTATTTATTTATCTGTCGATCTATCTATCTATCTGAATTCTATTTATACATCTATCTATACATTTATCTATCTATCCATCTGTCTATCAATTCATCCAACAATCTATATCTATCCATCTATCATCATCTATCAACTTTATAGCTGATGTAAAAGAAATAGTTAATTTATCTCTAATGTGACTAGAGTGTATCTAAGCTTAGCTAATGCAAAATTTACACGCAATAGAAATGTGAATCAGAATCGATCTATCAATCTATTATATGCTATAAATATTTTCTGACTTTAGCATAATTATGGGAAAACTTAATTTCCGCATATTATAAGTCTCTTCACATATTAGTTGAGACACAAGCAGAGTTCATTAGAAGCTGTTTAAGTACATAAATATTTCTGGTCAAGACGTTACATACTCTGAGTCTTATGCACTTTGCAGTGGGCGCTAAAAAGTATGCTATATAAGCAGCAGACGAAGCAGCGGCAGCAGCAGCAGCAGCAGTTCACTTGCTGCGTCCGGCTGTCCACGCTGCCTAAGAATCCAGTTGACTGCACCAAGTGCCTTTCTCTTGTTTGTTCATTTTCTTCTCCTTCTGCTTTAAAACGTTTTCTTTTTGTTGCATTTGAAACAGGTCAGTGCGTCATGCACACCAAATGAGCATATGAAACGCTGCAGCAAAACCTTTTTGGCCCGCTGCTGCTGCTGCTGCTGCTGCTTAGTTGGCTAAAAGAAAATTTGCGCTGCCCAACAAAGTGCAATATGTCCCACACTTTCTTTGCTTCTTTTGCAGACAATTTGCCTTGGCTTGGAGCTCTGCCCCCAGCCTGATGCCTGTTTGGTGCCTGGCTCTGCTGCTGCCTCTAGCTTGGCAGCTAGCCTTGCCTCTGCCTCTGCCGGCAACTCTATCCCTGGCTTTAAGCCTGCCCCTGCCGCTCGCCCTGCTGCCTCTCCTGGCCAGCGGCTGCTTTGGCTATAGAAAACAGTAATTATGCATAAGTCAACACGCGGCGCAGCGTGGCGGCATTCGTAATGAACTCCACTCAAAAGCCAAACGAGCACTTTGCAACCAAACCGCCACCTACCCCCTCCCTTTGCCACCCCTTGGGCTGCTTCATTACGCGCCAAGTTCAAAAGTTTTTGGCTGCCGAAAATGTCACCAACTGCAGAGTCGCCAGCAAACAAAACGGGGCGCAAATTCAAAAAAAAAATTATATAGTAGAAACGGAAACTTGTCTCAAAGTTTTTGGGAGTAGCCAAGTGCCAACTATGTAGGAGTTTATGTATATATATACACGTATATATGTATATATGTATTGCATAAGATGTAACCAGGGCAACAGTTGAAGCTGTGCCCGCCACGCTGGGCGCCAGCCACAGTTCTGTAATAAACACAGCTTGGCAGCAAATTGCGGCATTAGGAATGGGCAGGGAGGCGTGGCAGGGAGTGGAAATCAAAGTAGTCAACAGTTTGGAACATGTGTTTTATTTGGCTATGGCGCTTAATGCACCTAAATGCAGTTAGCAAAGTTTTTTTTTGTTCTGTTTTGTGGCGAGTCATTAAGTTGACCGCAGAGAGGAGTTGCAGGATACAGAGCAGAGGTTATTGTGTATATATATATCTATGTGTGTGTGTGTGCGCCTGGGATTGCGACACAGTCAAATCATTAGCGCTACGAAAGCCGAAGTCAAACAATGCAAACGCCAGCAGGCAGCTTCAGTTAATGATGGCATTTGTGAAGCAAGCACAACAAGCTGCTGCGCTTCTTTCACTCCTCTCTTTCTCTCACACACTCTCTCTATCTATCTCTCTCTCGCTGTCTTCATCCCGCTCTTCGCTTAATCCCCAGCTGGTTAACTGGTAGCCACTTGCAAAAGCCTCATTGCACGGCAAAGCTGAGCTGCTTATCTGCGCTAAGTGCTGGCGACCTGGTTGCGGGCCATGTTTACACACACACACACACATAGAGCCCCCCTTTTATAGTGGGCGTGGCCCCTAATGAAGTCATTTGTGAACAGCTTTTAAACTGCTTTCGAGTATTGCCATGTCTATCTATGCATTATCAGATTTTCATAAAAACACGTATACGCCCTGCTCTGCCAAGCCAGCTTCGCAATCCTTTTTTAACCAAGAGCCAAGTGCCACACACACACTCACACACAGTTGGTCAACTCAGCCGGACAGAAATTAATTAGTTGTCATTTTTAACAATTGAGCGTGACAAGAGGATATTGTGCCTGGTGCCTGGTGCCTGGTGGCGCCTCCTCCTACATCTACTTTCCTGCCTCTGTCCGCCTCCTGCTTGCTGTGGCTCTGACAAATGATGTTGGCGCTGTCTGACGTGTGACAGATAAGTGCCGAAAAAGGTTTACAACTTCTGCCAAATGCCATTTATTATTGATGTCGTCTACCCCACACTCCGCACGTTTACCCTTGTTTAGCCTGCAGCTAAATGTGTACAAATGAAACTTGTTTCGAAAGTTTTCAGCTGGCCGACAATTAGGCACATTGCGTATACGACACATTGGCCAACAAGATAAAGCCTGGAAGTCAATCAAATTGGGCCTGGCAACTGCATTTCAGTATATACATATATATATATGTAGCATTTATATACTCACAGCAGCAATTATTTTAAATTTAATTTAATTCCACTTTGATTATCTAAAAATAAAAAACAAATAAAACTTCTATAAATTGTTGATGATTTTAATTGCGGTTTTTGGTATAGATAAACATATATATATATATATATATATATATATATATATACATATATATATCAGGGCCCTATCTATTTTGTGGTTACTCTTTCCTCCTCTCTCTTTCTCTTTCTCCTTCCTTTTAATCCCACATAGCACGCATACCTTTACCAGCTGCATTAACTCTAAAGCGTAAAAAAATGCAAATTGGCTTAGCAGAGACTGGAAAATGAAAATAGATAAAACTCTCGATTTAAATTCTCGACGCTTAGTTGAAATTGTTAGCTTTGTTATAAAAACTAGCTGGATTTAATATGCTATTAAACGCAGCTTTGCTTATTATTAGTTTATTTACGGGTTTCTAAGCTTTTATATTACCTTTTCTTTCTTTCTATTGTTTGAAAAGACTTTATAATATAATTCAAATGAAATATTATAAGAAAGAATGATCAAGTCAAAATCATGCATTAGCTAATTAAATAAATATTGGCTAAATTTAATATTTAACTTAAGCAAAACTTTTAAAACATTAATGCAACTAGCTTTTTAGCTGCGTAATTTGCAGCCTAACGCTTCATTTAACCTATTTATAATGTCAGGAGTAGCAAACTAGCCTTTAGCTACTTCCAAGGCTCAACAGTTTACGAATAAGTCGCTTGCACTAAGCCCCAGCCGTTGAGTCAGGCAGTCGAGTCAATTAATATGTATATATATATATATATATATATATATATATATATATATATATATATATATATATATATATATATATATATATATATATATATAGATATATATATATATATATTAAATATATGTGTATATATAGCTAAACTGGTGTCGAAAAGCCTAAGTTAAGCTGCGGGTCAAGTGAATGTGAATACCTCAGCTGCAGCTGAGTGGCACGAGGGTGATGCGGGGCAGCTTTTTCATATAGCATATTTGCCACAGAGTGCATTAGGCTAAGATCCAAAAAAAGAAAAACCATGTAAGCATGTTTCCGTCGGGCATAACTGACTGCTTAATACTTGTTTATAAATCAAATATAACAACATTTTGCATATTATTTCATTATTTTATAAATTTTTTGTTCTATATAAATTTATGTTCTATTTCATTTTTGAACTCTCAAATATATAGTTACTCAGTTTCCAGTAGGCGCGGCTATATTTTTTGGGAGCTCTAAAAGAGGTGATCAATTGTAGAAGTTAGTATAGGATAAAATATTTTTCCGCATATTTTTTATCACTTGTAAAGGTTGCTTTTAGAGATATGTGTATAGCTTAGGAGATATAGCAGCTTAAGATATATTTTAAAAAAATCTGTAAAATTTGTGAGCTTAAAATTAGCAATCAAAAGTCGCCGTAAGTCGAATAATAAGAAATAAATATTGTTTATTTAGCATAGATCTTGTCTTTAAGCACACAAAAACCAATATACTCCATTTTCATTGATGAACGAGCATAAAAATAGCATGGGAAAAAGTCAGACAAAAGCTGGCAAAAATTAAAGTCAAAGTCAAAGCCGATTAGACGCTTAGCATGTTAGACATGAAGCAAGACACAGAGAAGAGCAAGAGAGGAGTATGACAGGCAACATTGTCAGGCCAAATGTGCGAATAAGTAGCAGAGATGTGTGGGTGTGCGTGTGTGTGTGTGTGTGAAATGTAAATATATATATTTATATTGACACACATGTGGGCAAAGGCAGATCGAGTGCATTTTTATGTAAATATAGGAAGTATATCAGAGGCACAGAAACACGCATACATACGTATACGAATTTGGTTAGCTATGTATGTGAAAGTAACGTGTGTAGGTGCGTAAAAAGGCGACAACCAAGGCAGATATTTGCATAGCCTGCTTTACTGTGTGGCGGGGTGGCTGCCTTTCGATTTGCTTGTTTTCGCTTTTCATTTTCTATTTACGGCCAGTGAGACGCGCAAGATGGAGACATCAAGTCACGTAGCCATAAAGACCAGCTCATCAAAACAACGTGTGTGTGTGCGTTGTATTGAGCCAACACAGTCATGTGTTATTGATTGGGAGTTGCGAGGCTTAAACAGCGACTGAAGCCGTGCCGCGCGCACATGTGTTTGCAAATCATATTCAATATTTTGTTTGCTTTTAGATTCAACTACACAGCCAACTGCCACATGCCACCTGCCACTTGCCACCAGCTATGCTCTCTTGCTGTGCCAGCTTAAAACCTTGTTGCAGTTGTTGTACTTACATTTGATTGCATTTGCCCTACACAACTTGAACTTTTGCTTGTTTTTTTGCGAGGGGCGACTCCGCGTTGTTTGCCAAAAATGTTGGCCTCCTTTTGCCCTGCCCAAACTTTTCCAACTTAATCATCGAAAGAGAGAGAGAGAGAGAGAGAAGCAGAAGGAGAGGGGTGAGCTGTAAAAGAGACTTCTAGGAAGCAAGCACAACCTGGCCAGCGACATCTGTTGTCGGGCAGCGGCAACAATATGTTGTTCAAGGCGTTGTAGCAAAGTTTTCACATTAAAAGCATTTCAAGCCAACAAATTGGGAACTGTGTTTACCGGCATACGCATATTCTTACAACCTGTGCACATTTCTTGCCTTTTTTGTTTATCATTTAATTGAAAGTCAAAAGCGAAAGTTCGCAATGCACGGGGCGTAACCTTTTGAAAAAGTTGTTTTCGAGCTTTTTTTACTAGCAACGAAAATTGAAATGAAATATAAAAATTTATTTTTCCTCTAAATAAGTTTTGAGCTGCGCTCTAAAAATAAGTTCTAATAGTTTTTTACAGCTCTATAGTTTTAACCATTTGAAAAGTGAAACTCAACTCAAAAGCCAAACAAGCGTCGGTCAAATTGTGCATTTAGCTGTCGAAAGAAGCTCATAGAAAACTTGTAGAGCTCTTTTGTGGATGCTACAGAAGGTTTAGCTAGCGGAAAATATTATTATATAATACAGTTAAAAGTTGTAGTATTGAAACTTTTAAATATAAAAAAGAGTACTTAAATCTGGATTGAAGAATTGGGTTTATGTAGTCATAATATAGAATTTAGATATTTTTAGGGGCATCAGAATGAGCTGAGTTTCTAATATAGCAGCGATTCAAGTACATTAATGTAAGCTATAGATTTACTTGATAATATGTGTGACTCTGATTGCTATATAATGGCCATGTAAGCATATCATCTATGTAAGTCTTAGCAGTATTATGATTCAGGCATGAACAAGAACATAGAAATCATTGAGTTATCGAGACTTTTTGTGTTGTCTTAGATCAATTCTGATATATTTAGAATACGACATTGTCATTAATATTTCACTTGTATTAGTTTTTCACTTGCTGTTTCTACTTTATACATGTATTAAAGCCAAGAACTTGGAATCTACTTTCAAATCTAAATCTATGGGAGCGCTCTTAAAGTATACTTCTATATATGTCTGCCTTCGAGCTTTGACTCCCTAGAGATACATTTCAATAAAAGTCGCTTCAGTTACACATTTAACGTTTATTTTCAAATATTTTTGTTTCAACTGCTAAAATGTTCAACATTTTTTATACAATTTTACTCAATATGTCGCACAAATTAATTAAATAAAATTACTTTGCAAAAAGCATGTTTCATTTGCAGCTAAAACCTTTGATAGAATTTATGTTTTACCATATTTGTTAGCTGTTGGCTTTTCAGACACAAAAATGCGAATTTTCAGTTTTATTTTGTTTTCTTTTTGTATAAATAGAAAACTAAACAACAACAACAACTGGAGAAATCGCAGCTCAGCTGCTTTGTTGACTTTGAATGGGTTTTGCCTTTAGCTGCTGTTGTTGTTGTTATCGTTTTTCTTATAGTTGCTGTTGTTGTTTGTTATTTGTTATTTGTTGTAATGCTGTGTGCTATTATATAGCTCTTGGCTGATAAAGCTACATGCCGTGTGCATTTTGTACTCGAATGCAGTTTGCTCCTATGCGATATATACATGTAGATAGAGCGAGAGAGAGATAGAGAGAGAGACAGAGAGGGCGTCACAGCTGCTTCACTTTTGTCGCATTTTCCACTTGCTTGCAAACACAAAACACACACACATTGATCCATGTAGAGAGCTGTATAAAGGGCCAACGCCATTGTCAATTTTTATATGAAAATGACCAAGCTTCATATGTATGTATATGTGTGTGAGTGTCTCTCTGTGTGTGTGTGTAAGTGCCAAAGTGTATGTGAGTGTGTGTGTGAGTGAGTGTAGAGTTGTTGTTGCTTATGCTTTTGTGTTGCAGCCACAGTAACTGCTGCTGCCGCCATTGCTGCTGCTGCTGCTGCTGCCTTTGCTGCTGCTGCTGCTTGTTCATGCTGCTCAATTCCAGTTAAGAGATAAAATTTTTATGACATCACTTTTCTTTTTCATTATTTATTTGACCGAGCAACAACATCGACGCTGCACAGCTACTGCCGCCGCTGCTGCTGCTGCTGCTGCTGCTGTTGTTACTCCTGACAATCCGCTGCAAATGATGAGCAACGGCGCCTTGGGAGTTTATGAACTTTATGTTTATTGAAGCCATAAATTGGTAGTGCATATGGCTGCTGCTTGCTGTGTGCCCGGGCGTATACGTAACATCACGTATACGCCGCATGACACGAATGATTGAAGCAGCCAAAGAGCCCAGTTTTAACAAATTCGCAATTAGCTGCAATTTGCACAAATTAAACGTTTAATCAGCTGCAATCAGATTGCGGAGCTGCATGACAACTATTTTAATTAATAGCCACATAAAAGGCGGAGCAGCAGCTGAAATGTGCACAAAATGAAGTTGTTTGTTGGGCTACTGCTCTATTTGCTGCAGCTGCAAGTTCAGTTGTCTAGCTGCTGGGTAAGATTAGAGCAAAATATTTGAACTAGAGCCAAGTACAACACTATTCATTGCAAAGGGCTTCTACAAGTACACAGCATCAATTCTGCAAATAGACGTCTTGCCGCATGAAGAGGAATTGGTTATTGATTTCAGCGACTTGCACATTATTGGACGGCAGCGCGCACTCAATGGCACGATTCGCATACTCGAAGATATGGATTCGAAGACGCATCAAATGTCTGTGGATCTGCTCAACGATCCGAACCTTAACGGCCAATGGAAGACAATGATATTCGCCATGCCACTCATCAATGTCTGCTATGCAATGCGCTTCTTCGTTGGCAGCTACGGCAAGTCGACAATGCAATTGGGCGTGAATACGAATGTCCCATTCGATGGCACACAGTGTCCGCTGCCAAAGGGCACATACTTCACAAACAATCTGCTGCTCAACAGCGAATCGTGGCCCGATGTCGTGCCCTACGGCGGCCTGAGAGTCAATTTGCGTTTCTTCAAGCACAATAAGCCAGCAGGTGGCCTAAGTCTGACCATTGATGTTCAGAAGAAGCAATAATTTTGGACAGCGAAAATGTCTTTGACTCTGTTTTGCAAATATATGTGAAAGCTTTACTTAAATACAATAATAAATAACAGCAAATGGTTTAATTAAAATTAAATTAATTTAAATGAAATATGCTTAGATATTGCCTTGATTGCAATTCTAGTTAAATTAAAAAAAACTTTATTCATTTGTAGGTTTTTTTTATACACTAAGCATGTTATTTAACATTTATGATGCTTATGGAAAGTATATTCCATTTTAGCTTCTGTTTAATAAGTTTATTTACACCTCTCTCTCTCTCTTTCTTTCTCTACCTCTCCCACCTAAAATACTCTTTAAATACTCTCTCTCGCTGCACTCGTCGCAGCAGAGATCGCTCGGCAGATGAAGGCAGCTTGGAGTTAGCGAATCAGCAGCTCGATGCCTCTAGCTTTTCTCGTTTGTATGTCTGCCTATGCCTCTGTGCATATGTATAGACCCAAAATGACTTAAAATATTTATTTTACATTTATTTTACCTCACAACATGCGCAGAATAAATAATTGTTTTATGAATTTAAATATCCAGAATGTTAAAAATATATAAAATATATGTCGAGCACTACCTAGTGGAGATACTCTTATTTGTTGTTGAGTAGAAACTCAAAAAACTTGCTTTGCTAACTATGTTAATGGCATAACACCAGACAATGTTAAGTTTACATAAACATTGCACACTCTGAATGCATTACTGTTAAGCATAACAGCAGCTGTAATGCACTGATAACATAGCTACGATAACAAACAATTATATTTTTGTATATACAATTTTAATTAAACGTAATAGCTAGATAGGCCAGTCTCAATTACAGCTGTGACAGATGTGGAAAATGATAAATTAGCAGCGCTTAAATAATTAAAAATTTAAAAAGCAACAGCAAAAAACAATTGATTTTTGAAATATTTTAATAAGGGCTAATCGGGCAGCATTTAGGCATCAGCATTTAGCAATTAGTAGTAAATTGCAATTAAATCACACATTAAATTGATGCGAATCTGCGCTCCGATTGCACAAACATGTTCGACATTTTAATGAAGCGCTATATATATATATCGTGGGCCAGAGCCAACGAATCAATTAACAAAATTCGAAATGAAGTTGTCTGCGGTGCTGCTGCTGCAATTGCTGCTACTAAGAGCCAGGCTCTCAGCTGGTTGGGTAAGTCCTAGAGAGCAGGGAGAGAGCATGAAATTGTATAAAATTTGAATCCTTTACAGGGCTTTTATATGTTCACTGCAAAGATAATGAAATTTGAGCCTCTGGATGGCGTCGAGCAGAATTTAATTGATTTTCGCAATGTTAGCATTGAGGGCGGGGATCGTGCGCTCAATGGCACTGTTCACATAGTGGAGGACATGGAGCCGCAACAATTTCAAATGTCCATTGACTTGCAACACGATCCCAAGCTGAACGATCAATGGCACGGGATGCTCCTGTCTGTGCCCATTATGGACATTTGCTCGGCAATGCGCTTGTTTGTGGGCACCTATGGCAAGACGACGCTGCGCCAGGGCGAAAATACGAATCTGCCCTTCACGGGCAAAGAGTGTCCATTGACCCAGGGCGTATACTATGTGAAAAATCTGCTGATTAACACCGATACCTGGCCGGACCTGACGCCCTTCGGTGGCTTGCGGCTCAATATGCGTTTCTATAAGCTTGGCAGCTTCGTGGGCGGCTTTCGACTGACCCTCCACGTGGAGCGTAAGCCTGTGTAATGACAGCGCCAAGGCCAGGGCCCTATTGTTGAACTTAATATGAATTGGGCTATTATTCACATAGAATGTGCACGAAATCGGAAAACATTCATCCAAATTTCATATTGCAAAGAAATACATATAAATTTGAAGCAATCAAATGAATTTGTTGTAAATGCTCGAAAATCTGCAAATTTCCACAAATGGATCACATTAAAATACACAAAAAACCCATTAAATTCGCATAAAATCCCATTTTTGTGCATTTAATGTCATAAATCACAAAATTTCACAGCACATGCATTAGAGGACCACACACACACACGCACACATAGCCAGACAGGCAACAAAACATACACACATGAAGTTGGGGCTTAGTTGTTGCTCACAAAAGCCAAACAATGCGAATTGTGCGTTGTTTGTCGCCAGCTTTTGGGCCTGTATCCTTGCAACAACAACAACAACAACAATAAGAACAACAACAGCAATGTGAACAAAATGTATCTGCTTAGGTCCTGGCTCCAATTTCTGACCCAAACGTTCTCCAATACCCCAACCAGTTGCCAAACAGGGCGTATTAGGCGAATACTTAGATACAATTTTAAATGTGCTTAAAATTTATTTTTTGTAATAAACACAATTATTATTTTTTATTAATATAACAAAAAATATAAATATAATCGGATATTAAATAAATTAAATACATTTAAGGCAGATAACGAGCAAATTAGTTTACATAATGAATGGAGTTTTTAACATTGACTTAACAGAGTGGCTTCAGTCTGTAAATGTTATGGCAATGTTGCTGTTTCTCACTCCTAAGAATGTATATTTAGACACAATTTATATTTAAACACCTCGTCGTAGCTCATGTAACTGAGGTAATATTGGCCCACATGTTAAGCATCGCTTTTCTAGCTGTAAATTCAACCTTTTACCAGGCAATGCATGGTCGTAGCTATATCACTCTAATATTTATATTTTGTATACCAAATTGAATATATACAAATCCAGGTTTTTAGCTTATACAGCAGCTATTAGACATAGATACAAAAATGATAAGATTTCAAGCCAAGAGCTTTAATAGACAAGCAGTTGTAGAACAAGATGGACATTATATGAAAACTATATAGTATACTACATAGTTCACCTTATGAGCGAGTATAAAAGTAACATGAAAACTAATATAAAAAGTAATTGTAACCAAAAGCACAAGAGAAACAAGGCAAGTTCTAATAAGTGTAAGTATATGTTAGTCGAGTTAGCCCACAGATTGCCCTATGTGGGCGTATACTACGTAGGTGGTGTGGTCTATGTCTGTGTGTGTGATTTTTCATGCAAATGCAGAATGTCCCTTTTTTGGCTTTGGCTTTGGCTATTGCTTGGTGTTGTGTTTTGTGGTCGCAAAGCATTTAAATGCCGCACATTAATGCAATCCAGGCTGGATTTGCAAATGGCATTGCTGCTGCTGTTGCCCCTCCTTCTGGTGCTGCTGCTGCTGCTGCTGCTCGACCAGCTCTATTCATTGAGCAATAAAATCGAAAAATATCCAGTCAACATATATGTAGACATGTGTACACAAATGTTTTGTGGTCAGAGCAAACTAAATTTGTCAGAGGCAAATTTCGTTGGCATTTGATTTTATTTCTTCCCTTTTTACTGTTTTATTTTTATTCCTGGCAAGCCTACAAATGTAAGGCAATGGCTCATAATTAATTGATTTGACAGCAGCTGGCAGCACACAGCAGGCGCCCGCACACAGGAGGCAAATCCTCTAAGCCAGAAACAAGCTGCACACAATTCGAGTGTTGCTCGGGCAGAGAAAACAGATGCTGTGTAACCCGGCACTCACAAGGAAGCAAGCTGTCATGAAAACTTAAAAACAAACTAAAAAGAAGCAAACTCGAGGCAAAAACTCTGTGAAAACTCAGTTAACCAAAGCGCATAAATGCAAGAAGCAGCTGCAGCTGTTGCCTGCTGCAGCTCATGTTTGCCAGCGCCCAGACACGTATATATATATATGTATATATATATAAATACATATCTATGTAGTCTAGGCAACAAAACACTTTGCCAACAAGCAGGTAACAGCAACAGCAGCAGCAACAATAAAAGTGAAAAGTGCATTGGCAAATACTATAAACGTGTCCGTCTGCACGTCTGCCTGTCTGCCTGTCTGCCTTACCCCACAAACTTGATATCTGGCTGCATGCTACAGCAGTAAAGCTTGCCATATTTTTGTGCCCACTCCTTTAGCTAGATTCCTATATATATGTGACTGTGCTGTACCTGCTCAGACATATGTTTCGGTTGCCGTGCTCTGTCCAAACTTTAACCACCTGCACAGCGCTTATTGGGCTGCTCTATGAATAATGGCAATGGCATTGCCTGCGAGCCTTCGAGCTTATTGTGTGAATTATTAGCGCTGTGTGTATTAAAATGCAGCTCAAGCTAATGCACACAAATACACACACATACTCAGAGAGAATGGCAGATAACAGTTCAAGTTTGGCGCTTGGCCCACGCTGCGTATGTGTGATGTGATTTACAAGCCAAACTACTCGACGGCGCATTTAATGTGTGCGGCTTTATGGCCACAAGAGTGTTTAACAGTTAACTACAAACAGCTCGAGCAGCTGGCAGCAAAAGCACACAAAAGCCCATAAATAGATCCAAATACATATACATGCTATATGGGATACACAAAGACAAATATATATACATACATATGTACATATATCCATGTCTGTGTATGCCCTGGACAATTCACAGAATCTTGAGCGTCTCATTTGATTATATTCCTTTGGCTGCATATAATCTGCACTTGGTCTGGCCCTAATGGCAATTGGCTAAACGTATTTGAATTATTTAATGATGTTTACTAAATATCTGCAAATTCGTAAGCTGCATTTAATTAAATTTGAAGCATTTGCCAAGCTAAATCTAATAATTGTAAATTGAGGGAGCTAAGGCAAATAGTGATATTAAGCATATGCAGCTTAGTATTTTATTTTTTTAATAAGAATCAAGAATGCATTTTTAGTAATTTTTTAGATCAAATTTAATATTTAAAACAATAACAAAAATCTGTTTAAAAGCTTAAAATTTTGTCCATTTTCTTTATACAGCAAAGTCAATTCAATCTCTCCATCGCTCTCCTCATGTCTCTATATCTTTTAAGCTTTATTTCTAATTTTCGAATTTATACTGACTTTAAGCACTAACACAGTATTAGTTCAACAGCATTGTTGAATAAAAACTTTGCAACTTAAAGTTTTTGTTATGCTTTAATTCGAAGCTGTGAACGGAAATGTTTGCGTATTGCATATGAAATTTATTAATTCATAGTCAGGAGTTGTTTAACTCTTTTATAGTGGAGCAGAGTTTATTTTTAATTTGGTTTATGCAGTTTTATGCAGCAACATCAAATTGAATAATCCAGATATATATACATATATATATATATATAAAGTAGCAGCAACAGAAATTGTCTTTTATATCAGTTCCATTAGCATATTGTATATGGAAATAAACGTTATAAGTATATATTTTATACTTATTTATATATATGTGTATATTTGCATTAATTTAAGCATTCAATAAGCGTATTATTCGCTTTTAATTACAATGTCTAAAGCTCCAGCCGCATGGGGCGTGGCCCATTTTAATGAGACGCAGACTCAGCTGCTGCCAGCTCCTTGTTGCTGTTGTTTGTATTTATTGTTGCTGCTTGATCGACTTTAATTAAATTCTGCATTATTGGGCTCTGTTCTATGCGCACTCCTATATAACAGAGTAAATTACACGGACTTGTCTATGCTGATAAGAAATCAACATCTTTAGTCTGCTTACGTTGCGTATGCGTAATGTAATTGATGAGTGTACGCAGTGAGGTTGCTAATGTGAGTATTGGTATGTGTGTGTGTGTGTGTTGCTTGTGTTTGTGTGCAGTGACCTGCATTGCTGTCAGTCTGCTTGGGCAGGCGCCACTTCAGCTTTCCCAGCCAAAAAGGAAACGGATGCAAAACTGTGACACAGGAAACGCAGTTGTCGGCGTTGTTGCAACTGCAACGGCAACAGCTACAACGAACTGCAACTGCAACAATTAAAGCGATAAAAGCGCAAAATGGTCACATTTCAGCAGCGTTAATCAGCACCAGACGACAGCCGCATGGATGCGGATATGAGCAGCAGCAACAGCAGCAATAGCAGCTGAGAGAGGCGACTCGTGGGCCAGCAGAGAGGCCAGACGAGGCGGGGCGAGGCGAAGAGGGGAGCAGAGTGGCGATGCAGTGGGAACGGACATTTGGAATGGCAATTTAAAGCCACTTGGCAAAGCCTCAGGCTCATGTAATGAGCGCACTTGGAACGCAGTGCAGCCAGCGGGCACTGGCCTGGCCACATGATGACATACATTTACGGTCTGGCGTTAACGCTTAATGGCCGCCACGAGCAGCAATGCACGGAGAGAAATTATTAAGTATATTATATATCAATCAACAAGTGAGTAGCAGAGCTGCTAGCTTAACGTGTTCCGTGTAATTAAATAATCTGAAAAAGTTTTCCAGTTCTTTGTGATCATCTTAAAACTTATTAAAAGTAAATTCTATTTTAAGACTCTTCATTTAGTTTGTAATATTTTAAAAGTATTTTGTGCCCTTTAAAGCGTTCAAAGTTTTTAGAATATTTATGTTTTGATAACATTTAAATTAAATTTTATTTTAAACATATTTTATTTATTTATAAACATTTTTTTAATTATTTTTTTTTTAATTATTTATTTTTTTTTATTTTTAGTAAATCAAATCGTATTAAAAGAATTTCCTACGTAAGATAAAAAATAATAACAAAATTATTTTTCCTTGTGTAAATTTCGCCTTATTAAAATTTTTCTATTCAATCTAATTTCAAGTAAAAAAATCTTTTTAAAATTAATTAATTAAGATTTATTTTCACATTTTTTAAGCACTTTATGTACATTTCATAAAATTCAATAAGATTAAGTTAAATTAAAAAATTTAAAAAATAAGCTCGCC